TCTTGCTAAATTCTGGTGATAGTTGACCTTGGAACATCCAACTCCATGGATGTCCGACGAAGTGATTTCTTTGGGCTAACAGCAATCTTGGCCATGACAACCTCTTTCGTTTTGTCTGAAGTCTTTGGTCGCCCGGAACGGGGTTAGTCCAAGACACTAAGCTGAGAGCCTAAGCGTTGTTGACTAATCATGGGACTCTGCCGTCCCAACAAAGATAAGATAAATAAATAAAATATTAAAATTCCTATGTACCCAGACTTTGTGGACACCCTGTACATAAGTAGTCGTTTTTACGGTCTGGTTTTTGCAGTAACTCATTCAAAAACCGATACTAATATTGCACCCCTACTTGGGTAATCTTTTCTAATTAAAACACATTTTAAAATTTTGCCTTCAGTTCCAAGAGATAACAACCTAGCTGCGTTCCATGGTCTTATGGACCCGACTGGCCACCTGCTGTCGAGATACCCATGGCTGATAACGGCAGCGCGCTGCAAATGAATAATCCCGTGTCCCTAGGCTGTCTCGATAAAGAGTGTTAATAAAATTAACTCGCCTAAGCTACTTCGTATCCTGCCAATTAGAGATATGCCCGAATTCATCTGCGGTACGGTTATTTGTACTGAAAGGACCCGCCACCATTTAAACATGTTGACTACCTAGCTGACTATTTTCTGCTGGCGTAGTAGAGATAATTCAGAAATTGTCTTTTTCTGTCAGCAGCCATACCTACACTAATTTTCGCACCCCGCTAACTAAATTAAGAAAACAGTTAAAATACTGAAATGGCCTTCCAAGCGTAAATAGAATCACACTCACCAATACTTATGACGGTAAAACGAACTCGTCTTTTTATCAAGACCTAGTGTGACTCATACACGTGCAGGAATTACTGCAGTAAGCCCTGAAAGCCATCTGTTTGGAGAAACGGGCGCTGTTGAGAAGCCAAGATAAACGTCTCCTGACAGATATATTCGCCGCCTCATCAAAGGCGCGGTTAACAGATTAAAGCAAGTGCTCTTGTATGCCGTCTAGAAGTGTAGTCACCGAGCATTGGTCGGCATATTCCAAAGTGATTTCAGATGCAGGTGAAAGCAGCCCCGCAAGTATGCCATTTGTCACACCAACTGCAAACTGCAGTTTACGTAGTAGCAGTCAGTAGCGCCATAAGTAGCTATGGCACGAGTTAACCTACCTTACTCTTAGTTAGAGGCTGACACTAGAGCTGAAATTCTGTCCAAAATTGAGTTCTGTTTGACGTACTACTTGCACAGCTGTCATCTCTCCTATCATAACACTGAACTTCTCCCCCGCCCTCCCCGGCTTTTTATTCTCACCAACAGATTTACAAAGCTCACGCCAGTTGGGCTCTCGGTTACGCATTGGACGCGACTGGGCGGATCCCCAGCCGGAGTCCAACCTCCCGTCTTGATCCTACGGCGCTGGCAATCGGGCTCACCTTCCTCATTTGTCTCCTGTTGTTCCTTCTTCTCCTCTATATTGGCATTAAGAAAAAGCGATTGTTACTATAGACTCCCGACGGAGAAGGATGTTGGAGGGACCCAAAGCACGGCACTGCCTCGGTTCCACCCTGTTTACCCCCATCCCGCCCTCCCCCAGCCTTAACGTTGGCCAATAAAGACAGGACTTATTTTTATGACTGATATGACTGTCGCGTGGGGACG